AGCCCCTGAGCTATCTCTCCAGCCCCTGAGCTATCTCCCCGGCCCCTGAGCTATCTCCGCAGCCCCTGAGCTATCTCTGCAGGCCCTGAGCTATCTCTGCAGGCCCTGAGCTATCTCCCTGGCCCCTGAGCTCTCTTCCCGCCCCCCTCCTTTTTGATACAGCAGAGTTTGAAGATTCTATGAGCAGAAAAGGAGAAGAGCTGAAGCCCACAGGTCCACAGGAACTGTGACCTCAGCCCCAGAATCCTGTTTTCATGAGTCTCTTTCTCTTAAATTTCCTCCTCACTGGGCCAACCAGATATCTCCGTGGACTAAAGCACCTGCTTAAGCAGGCACAGGGACCCGGCTCCAATCTCTGGTGTGCCGGCTCGACCCCTAGGTGTGCACTGAGACACAATTGAGACTGGGCGTGGTGGTGCACGCTTGTAATCTCAGTGCTTGGGAGTCTGTAAACAGGAGTATCACTGAGTCTGATCTGTGTAGTGAGACACTATAGACCCTGTACTAAACACATTAAAAAAAAAAAGAATTCCTCCTTACTAGAGTTCCCAAACAGAAACTCCTACCTAAATGTTTTGACCTTAAAAGCAAACAAACAATAAAACCCACGTTTTCCTAAGCAGTTCTTTTATTGACTTGGCCCTAACGACCGCTAGCCCTGCCACTCCTGTCCCTTCCTCCACTGTCATTCTGTGCTACTCTCTGCTGGCTGCCCTGGCCAGTGAGCGATGAGTCACGCTCCTTCCAGGAGTCCTCTGCCGCCTTCCTATGCCCCCAGGCATTTCAGTAGTGGGTTACAACCCCAGTGGGACGCCCCACTGTCCCTCTTTTCTTTCTCTTTGGACTCCACACCAGCTCGGCACCACTCTTTCATCCCACCACACACCTCCATGTCTGGCCACTGGCTTCCCGGCCCGGTGTGCAGCAGCTGCAGGCCCCGGCAGTGCAATGCCACCCTTCAGGGTACCCGGAGCACCATGCCCTCTGTCGCGTGGGCCCAGCAAGCGGGACAACTCGCATGAGAGTTATAATAAAGCGACGTGTGGAAACCGCTCAATTCACACTGCAGTAAAGGACCAGTTATTCTGATTACTGTTTGTCATACATTTTAGAAATGGGATCCAATCCACACAAACCTGATTTGTAAGACATTCAAGTTTAAACAATGATGAGTTATTAGGCAGCGGTGCAGTTCCCACACAGGATCTATTTTAAGACTCATGGTGATCCTGGCAAATCAGCTGCTACCTCTGTTTCCCAGGTGTGATAACTGCCGCACGGGGAGGGCCAGTAATGTCCCAAGGCCACACAGCTAGAAAGCACAGAGCGGCAGTTCGACTTCAAGTCCCAGACACATTTCCCCTCCCCCACTGCTGCACACAAGCCATCCTTACTTAATCTGATCTGACCTCAAAAGCACAATCGCTGCACATCTTTTCAGACAATCTGTGATTACACTTTACAGGAGGCTTTCGGTGAGTGTCAAGCCCACTGCGCCACTGTGGCAGGGGCTTCCTGGGTGGTGCCACCGGGAAGCACAAGATGAACCGGGCCAGGATGCAGCCCAGGTCAACTGCACTGTGCCCACTCCAAGCCATGGCAGTTGTGCTCCGGGACAAGTCACTGCCTCCGAGGCTCCTGCTCACACTCGCTCTATGGGCTCCTGCTCTGCTTCTTTTTGAAGAGGGAAATACAGAAACAAACAAAAAGCAGCTGCAGCCACCACCGCATGTGGGCGCTTCCCCGACACACGTCCCTGCTGCCAAGATGCCAGCACCCCACACAACTGTTCTAAGGAGAGAAAACGTCGTGAGTGGGAGATGCTCTCACGTCTTTCTCTCCTGAGCCTCCGGAGACACATGGGAAGGGGCCACTAGAAGTTCTAGGCAGGGTCCCCGTGTCAGACGCCTGACCCGCGCCTGTGCTCAGGACAACATGCTTCTCTGCACACATCACCTGGGCAAGCCAGGGCCAGGCAGGTGGCGGCTCTTCAGCCCTGAGGTCCTGGCCCCCAGCAAGGTCCCGCTTGCCACTCACCTCCCGCAGCTCCAGCCTCTGTGCCACGGCCTCCAGGCACTCCTGGCCAGTGCTCTCCACGGACAGCGTGCACTCGATGACACTGCTGTCCAGCAGGCGGATGCGGGTGACGAAGCAGTTCTTGCTCAGGACATTGTAGCGCCGCGTACGGCGGAGCTTCAGGCCGAAAGGCATGGCTCGCTCTGCGGGTTCCCCGCGAAGGCCTCAGGGACTTCGTGACTGGGCGGTCACATCCCACCTGTGCTCCTGCAGGCGTGGGGAAAGGTGTCCATGCCCAGCGTGGCCTCTGCAGGACAGCTGAGGACGGAAAGAAAGGACAGCCTGGTCACGCGCTGGAGTTTAACAATTTTAAAGTAATTGAGTTTTTGTTTTTTGAGGGAGTCTCTCTAGACAGTCCAGGTTGCCCTTGAATTTGCCGTGTAGCCTATGCTGGTGGTCTTCTTGCCTCAGCCTTCCAGATCCAAGTGCTAAGATTACAGACAGGCATCACCATGCCCCACTCGTGTGTGTGTGTGTGTGTGTGTTAATTTACTGTACTTTTACTCCTAGAGATTGAACCCAGGATCTACCACTGAGCCACTTCCCACCCTGAACATATGAGTTCTTTCATGCACTTAAAACCACATCCCTTTGTCTTTTCTTCAACAAATATTTAGACAGATGGGCACAGCCACCCAGCCATTACTTTGATCCTCTACAAAACGCAGGATGAAAAGGCCCTGTCACCTAGTCACGGCAGGTTTAGCTCAGTGACAGCGTGCCCCTCCCGCACCTCACTGTCCCGCCCCATGAAAACGCAGTGCGATCCCGCGGAGGACGCAGAAGAGAAACAACAGGAGTGACCGGAGGAGCCGGCAGTGCTGCTGCTTTCTGAAAGCTTTTCCATCCGAATGGTGTACTCTGCTCTAGGCTTGAAGGATCCTGGGCCGCCTTGTCAACTCTGTGCCCTAATTCAGGCCAATCTGCCCAGGTCTAACACCCTTTATCCATCCCTGACGCAGAATTGTCCCTGAGCCCTAAGTCACCTAGAAGCACAGCAAGAATTAGTACTCTTGTAGGGGTTTCTCACACAAATAAATAAGACGTTATCACATTTGCGGGCCACTGCCCATGGTACTGCGCCCACGGAGCTGCCAGGGTCTAGCCTGCAACCCAGCACAACACACGCCTGGCTGCCAGAGCAGGTGCTGGATCCTCGCCCTCGGCACATTCCTTGGTGTGACAGGTCTATGCTTTATGAGGGCCTCAAATACATATGCTAGTATCTTGGCCGGGCGAAATGCATTAGCATTTCTAAGTCACTTTACGTTGGCAGTGTACCCTGTTTACCTGCAAGCTGGCCAACCTGATCTCGAGATAGGGACCCAGAACACGGAGGGACCCACCCTGCGGGGAAGGACAGGACGCCGGCATTCAAACACAAACCCCTCAGGCGCGCACGGCTGCTGATAGATTCCCATCACCCTCCTGAAACACAAGGAGTGGCCACATCTGAAGGCCGACATTCTCCAGAGAGCGTCAAACAGAGAAAAAGATGTGCTCCATGGGCGCAGGCCGCGCTTCCAATCCTGGCCAGGCACTTTACCCCTGGATGTGTCTCCCCTTAAACTCTGAGCCAAGAATGTGCTGACTTGCTTCTGTCTTCTGCCAGCAAGCAACCTCCCCACACATCCTCGAGCGCGACATCTGGAATGCGGAGCCGGTGAGATCAAAGGCCGAGGGCACCACAGCATGCGCAGATGAGCGCGGCTTCTCTCGCCAACAAGACTCACAAATAGGAAGGAATCCAGGCTCGGCTGGCCATGGGTGTGTACAGGAAAGTGATCACCGGAGGGCTACCTGGTGACATCACTGAAGGGCTACCTGGTGACATCACCAAGCCCAACTTCATAGCTTAAAAGCCTGTAAGTTGTGGGGATATTCGACAACCGCCTTGCGTTACTTTGCTACGTAGGATCATTTTACAGTACATCACCTGCCCCAGCATGACAGTGATCCGAGCGATGGCTTCCCATCCACAGTTAATGGGCAGTCTGGCGATGCATCTCCTAGAAATACCTATTTTGCACGTAACTGATTTCCTAAAGCTTGTTTTTGCAAGAAACATCCAACATTAGGCACTGATTTTAAAAAAAATTAGAAGAAAACTGGTCTGATTCTTCTAAAGGCCAATGTCCTCAAAGAAAAAAATTTAAAAGGGGAACAAGCAGAGGGGCAGTAGGAGTTGCCCTGGAGTAAGACAGCAGGAACTAGGAATCTCAAATGCAGTGCACTGATGTGGGTCAAACCCGGGCTTGAAATGAGGAAGTGCCAAAAACAGAGGAGAAGACGCAGCTACTGCCCTTCTCTGCAGCTTCCTCAGAGAGCAAAAGATGTCACCTGACAGTGAGCCCAACTGCGCGTGTTTGTAACAGCGCTACTCGCACCAGCTAAGCTTTGGACGCAGCCTCTGCCCATCTGAGAGGAATGGGGACAGAAAACGCGGCACGCGGCACGCAGCACGCGGCACAGCGGAGCAGGGCTGGGCCTGAAGGAAAGGTGAGCAGGCGCCGCAGGGAGCCAAACGGAGGCGCCCCGGACCACAGCGCTCAGGGAGATACACAGAGCAGACAGACGGGCAACGACACCAGAGGGCTGGTCGTACAGGAGGAAGCCGAAGCATAAACAAAGAGCAAAAGAAAAGATGACAGTAAGAAGTAGGGAGACAGAGCTTTCTCGAAGGGGAAGGGACGGAGGGAGGGACGGGGAGGAGAGGGGAGGAAGGAAAAAGAAAGTCAGACGTGGCATATGCAGGTGTCAACTGCGCAGCACAAGGGAAGTTCTTATGAGCTACACACGTGTGCTGCCGCTACTACTATGAGTAAACAGTAAATACTGGAAAAGCACATATTAGAACATTAAGGAAACATAAAAAATAGAAATTGAATGACACGAATGTGTTATCGTTAACCCACCTTGGTTTTTGAGAGCAGAGAATGGTGGTAGCTATCAACCAAGACACTCGGGGTAAAAATGTCATGGTGCTTTTACCGACTTTCAAATGGTTAAGGAGTAACACGCACCCGCACACAGATTCACCCACATCCTCAGACTCAGAGGTGACCAACGCGACACAGTGTCCACAGGCGTGGACATCCACCATCCTCTCAGCTCTTCTGAACACCTAAGCAACCCCATCCTGCACGGTGGAGGAGGCGGTACCCTCGACCCTGGCCTAAACGTGACATCCTACCCTCTGGGCTACCCAGAAACGCCCCTGCCTCTCTTAACGAACATCTTTAGGTTCCTTTTCTACGAACCCTGAAGTTATTTGTGCTTCTTTTCTAATATACAAATCTATGTTGAAAATATTAGTGCCCCGCTCCGCCCTCCTCCAGAGCTTGAGGCACATTTTATCTCTAACACAGGCTTGTCCAGGACTGAAAAGCCTGGACCTCTATTTTCAAGATGACACAGTGACAGAGCCGTGCTTCTGGGGACAGCATGAAGACACCTGCTGGGACCGTGCTCACCCTGGGGAAGGGCCACACCTAAGCTACTCCAGGAGAGCAGGCCATCAGCACACCGTGGGGGCGCTGCATCGTGTGCGCGGTCTTGGCACCGTCGTCATCCACGGGGGCGCTGC